GGCATCTGCCACCTGGTTGGTCTTTCCCGGAACGAACTTGAGGCGGAAATTGAACCGCTGGAAAAACTGGACCCATCTGAGATGCTTGGCATTAAGTCTCTGTGGGGTTTGTAGAGCCTGTAGGTTTTTGTGGTCTGTCCATACCTCAAAAGGGATTTGGGTACCCTCAAGAAAGTGCCGCCAGTGGGCCAGTGCCGCTCGCACCGCAAAGGATTCTTTTTCCCAGACATGCCAGCGCTTTTCAGTCTCTGAGAATTTTTTTGATAAATAAGCGCACGGCTTGAGCTGGCCCTCATCGTCAGCTTGTAAGAGCACCGCTCCATAAGCTGCCTCCGAGGCATCGCATTGGACTACGAAAGGCTTGTTTGGCTGGACATGTGTTAGGATGGGCTGGCTAGTGAATTTTGCTTTTAGGCTCTCAAACGCTCTCTGACACTCAGGTGTCCATTCTAGTCTGGCCCCCGGGGTTCTTGCCTTTTTTGTCTCCCCCTTCCCTTTCGTTTTTAACAATTCAGTAAGGGGCAGCGCCACCTCGGCGAAGTCTTTAATGAATTGTCGATAAAAGTTGGCAAATCCTAGGAATCCTTGCAGCTGTTTCCGGGTGCGGGGGGGGGGTTCCCATGCTAGCACATCCTGTATCTTAGCTGGGTCCATGGCTAGCCCCTTCGTGGATATGCGGAAGCCCAGGTAGGTGAGTTCGGTTCGGTGAAATTCACACTTAGAGGCCTTAACATATAGCTGGTTCTCCCTCAGGATTTGGAGCACCTTTTGGGTCGTTTTTATGTGCTGGGCTAAGGAGTCCGAATATATCAAAAGGTCGTCTAGATAAATCAGCAGTCCATCATACAGCATCTCCCGGAAGATGCTGTTTATGAATTGCATGAACACCTTTGGGGCTCCTTTTAACCCGAAGGGGGTCACTGTCCATTGAAACTGCCCATAACAACAATTAAAAGCCGTCTTCCAACAATCCTCATCCCGCACCCTCAGGCGGTAAAACACTTCTCTGATGTCTAATTTTGTAAAGATTTTGGCTTTACCCAGTTGTGCCAAAATGTCCGACATGAGGGGGAGGGGGTATTGATTGGTGGTGCATATGGAGTTTAAGCCTCTATAGTCCACACACAGCCTCAACGACCCATCGGCCTTAGGCCTAAAAAGCACTGGGGCTGCCACCGGTGAAGTGGACGGCTCTATGAACCCCCTTTCCAGGTTTTTATCCAGGAACTCCCTCAAGGCCTTTCTCTCCGGTTCAGACATCGCGTATAGCTTTGGACTAGGCAATTTAACATTTGGCTCGAACTCGATAGCACAGTCTGTTTCTCTATGTGGGGGTAGTTGGTCACATTCTGTCTCGCTAAAAACGTCTGCCCACTCTTGATAAACCTCTGGGATGCAAAATTCTGGGCCCTCTGGAGCCGCTTCTGCCTGCGCCCCTTGTATCTGGGGGGGGGGGTCTGGTTGAGCCCCTCAGGCCTATATTCTCCATCTGCGAAGGTAAACACTCCCTCAGTCCAGTTAATTTGAGGGTTTTGCCATTTCAGCCATGGGATCCCCAGTATGACTGGCTGGTGGGCCATGGGGGATATCACAAACTGCAAAGTCTCTCGGTGAGTCCCCATCTCCAGGTGTAAATAGTCTGTTTTTTCCATTACTGGGGCCCCGTGGGCTGCTGTCCCATCCAACTGGGAGAAAATGACTGGTGTCTTTAATGCCTGGGGCTTAACTCCCAGTTTGGCTGCCAGGGAGGGGGTAATTAGGCACCTGGTGCACCCACAGTCTAGCATGGCTTCAGTTTTTATTCTCAGTCCTGATTTGGGGTTAGTTAGAATCACAGTCATTTTAAGCACATCACAATTCAGTCTCTTTAACTCACCGCCTGACGTCTTCGCGATCTTCCTGCAGGCGGCGCTTACAGGAGATCTTGCCCGTTTCCCGCCAGGTAGGAATTTGCGTCCTCCAGTTCCGCCTCCTCCTCCGCAGGGAGCTGGTGCGGGGCCAAAGCAGTTTCCACCGCCGTGGAGGCTTTCCCCTTCGTGGTTTTGGGTCCTGGCGCTGGCCTCGCGGGAGGTGTCTTGTCGGGCTTGGGAGCGTTGGGAGGGTTGCGTCCTCTTGGGCATTCCGCCGCTCTGTGCCCTTCTTGGCCGCACGCGAAGCAGGGACCCCTCCTTCCTTTCCTCTCGCGGCTGGCTGACCTTCCTCTGGGCGAGGGGCGTCTTGGCCCTCCCTGCGGCCCTGCTGCGGGGTGTCGGGTTCGCCCTCTCTCTCTCACTCTGCGCGGCATCTGCTCCTGGTCACACTCGACCCTCCCCGCCAGCACAATCCACTCCTCGAGCGTGTTTGGGTTGTTCCGGTGCAGCGACCACTCCAACACATCGGAGCGCAAGCCCGCTCGGAAGTATTCGAGCTTTGTGGCTTCAGACCAGTCTCTAATTCTGCCTGCAATGGCTTTGAACTCCAAGGCATATTCAGAGACAGTCTTGTTGCCCTGGTAGATTTTTTTAAGCTGCCCTTTTGCCTTCTCCTCCGCCAATGGCTCTTGGAATCTCTCCCGGAGTGCTCTCAAGAAGTCATCCAGTCTTCTCAACTCAGGCGCTCGGGTATCATACATTTGCATGAGCCAATCGGCCGCAGCTTCCTTCAAATTGGCCCCCACCGCATGGATCATAGCTCCCTCTGAGGGGAAGGTATCCCCATAGTCCTCCATGAAATGTCTCACGTTTGTGATGAAATAGGAGAGCTGCTTGGGGTCTCCATTGAACTTTACACGCAGCTCTCCTCTCCCGGGGCCTCCATGTAGTTGGCTTCTCCCCGCCCATCCCGAGGCGAATGCCGAGGTCCCGGGGGGGGTTGGAGCTGCTCTCCCTCCATGGCGAACGCCACTCTCCCCGAGGGCCGATACCCACGCCCCATACCTTGTGGATGAGAGCGTCGCTGCTCTTTCTCTTATAGCGTGGTTCTCCATGACGCTGCTACCTCTTTTCTCATCTCATCCAGTTGGAATGAGAAAGTTTGCAGCATTCTCTCCATCGCATCCACTTTTTCCCCGAAGTGTTGCGCCGGCAGCGCCGATGCGCTGCTAAGGGGCGAGGGTTCTCTGAGAGGCTCCTGCAACCCCGACATGGGCAGCTTGCGCCTCACTGTTATATCCTTCCTGGAAGGCATCTGCGTGGAAGTCAGGGGGCCCCTCCAGTCTTCATGCACCGCTGGGGCCTCTTCTTCTATCCCCACGCCTCCTTCTTGGGAAGATTCCTCGTCCTCGATCCTCTCGTNCCTCACTGTTACGTCCTTCCTGGAAGGCATCTGCGTGGAAGTCAGGGGGCCCCTCCAGTCTTCAGGCACCGCGGGGGCCTCTTCCTCTATCCCCACGCCTCCTTCTTGGGAGGATTCCTCGTCCTCGATCCTCTCGTCCTCCAGCCCCAGGGGAGGGAAAGCTCCGGTGTTTCCCTCGGCTCCCATTAGGATCTCTCCTTCTTGGAACATGCTCTTTCCCCGGATAGTTATAATCCTCACAGGTTGAGCAAGAAGTTGTGAGTTCTCTCTTTATGTCAGGTTCCGCTGGATCTTAGAATAAAACTCGCACTCACAAGTAGATACTCGGATTTGGAGTTTATTTCAGTCCATACAGAACAAAGTCAAAGAGAGAACTGAGGTTTCCCACCAAGAGTCTCCAGATCCCCCCTCCTGGCTTCGCCCCCTCCCTCTCCCCCTTGCTTATCAAAGTTTAGACTAAGATTCCTTTTCCCACAGCTTCAAAGTGAATACTATGCCCAGATGGCCCTGCCATAAACCCATCTATCATCATTGCTCCCTCTAGTGTCAGGAAGAAGACTTCTTGGAATCTCGAACATGAAGGCACATCCTGACAGCATCTCACAGGACTGTTGTAAAGAAAAACAGTCCTGTGAGATGCAGCTCCACTGGCTGCCAATTAGCTTCCAAGCACATTTCAAAGTGCTTGGAAGCTAATTGGCAGCAAAACCCTTTACGGTTCTGGCCCAGTTTACCTGTCTGAACGTATTCTCCCCTACAAACCATCAAGGGCATTAAGATCTTCCGGAGAGGCCCTGCTCTCAGTCCTGCCACCTTCGCAATTACACTGGGTGGCCCCCCAGCTATGGAACTCTCTCCTGAATGAGGTTAGGTCTGCTCCCTCCCTCCTGACGTTCAGGAAGCAAGTGAAATCCTGGCTTTGGAATCAGGCATTTGCAGAGTGATGGTTGGTACCGGTAAAGACTAAGAACGATTGGACCACAATGTGTGGATTGTGTTGGATGATGTTTTAAACGTGGTGAATTGTTTATATGTATTTTTAACTATTTATTTATTTATTTATTTATTTATTTATTTTATTTGTCGTGTCAGAACAACCAGTCTAACAGAACAAAGCAAACAAACAGAAAAATACACAACTTGTGGGTTTGGTAGCTGGTTAAATGTCCTTTGACCAGTATCTGGCCACTTGGAGTGCTTCCGGTGTTGCTGCAAGAAGGTCCTCCATTGTGCATGTGGCAGGGCTCAGGTTGCATTGCAGCAGGTGGTCAGTGGTTTGTTCTTCTCCACACTCGCATGTCGAGGATTCTACTTTGTAGCCCCATTTCTGAAGGTATTTTTAACTTATATGCATCTTTTAACTTATTCGTTAACGTTGGCAGCAAAAATTCAATGCAAGACAACAACAAAAACAACTTAAAACAACATACATAATACAATAAGTTAAAAGATGCATATTTTTAACTTATATGCATCTTTTAACTTATTGTATTATGTATGTTGTTTTAAGTTGTTTTTTGTTGTCTTGCATTGAATTTTTGCTGCCAACCGTTCTGAGTCCCTCCACGGAGGTAGAGAAGAATGGGATATAAAAGTTCTAAATAAATAAATAACTAAATAAATAGATAATAAAGTGAGAGGACAGAACCCATGTTTACTGCTTTGGATACATGAGAGGAAAGACAGATTGTATCTGTAATAAATAAATTAAAATAAACATGTTTTACCCCTTCTCAAGGCTCTCAAGTTCTGTTTTGCATGGTGATGCAGTTCCTCAACACAAGCCGGCCTGGTGGAAGGAAGGAAAACGTTTCTCTGTTGATGCCAAGGGGCACGGAAGTACACACTCAGTTTACTTTCGGCATCCAGGTTTGAAACAGCTGTGGGGTCAAAGACAAAAGGACACTTACTCAATCTCTTCATGGAATCTGGTGCAGACTTCAACAACTATAAAAATTACATATGACAAGCGCATATTACAGTTTGGAACAAAGAAAATGATCTGTGACAGCACCTTATGCTGCTAAAAGGTGTTGGGATAATATGAATGAATGGAGTGGTGGGAGGTCTGAATCTGAGCTAAACTTATTTGATGCATTTTTAATAAACTATGAATAAAGTGAAAAACATAAACTAGAATAGCATTAACTGCAGATCCTGGGAGTTATTTTTTTCTGTTTATCTATATCTGAGTACAGTCTAACAAACAAGTCAGTAATTTTTACAGATTTGGAAAGCCACCAGAAACTAGAATAGTATTTATATCTTAATTGACACATTAACAAATCTCATTCTCATTTTCACTGTATCGGTGGCATTATATTGGTTTCCTTGCACACTCTCCTGACATTTACTAGCAAACTCAGTAAAACTTTCATTATGAGTGAAAGACAACATTCATAATGCTGTTGGTACCAAATTCAAAAACAAGTTTTGTGACATGAAAATCTCTGATAGTTATTTGATCTCTACTCCAACTGATTTGGTTTTATCTCTTGGACTGATAAGAGTAGTATTCAACAGAGCAAATCAGGAAAAAGTCAATGAAACCTAAAAGATTTCAGGTTGCCTTGAAAGGTATTGTATATCAAATATAAAGTAACCTATAAAAATCCTTTTGACTATTGTTTCCTCTTACACTTTCACATCTCTGACTACAAATAGATGTTAATCTTGCAAGAATGGCATACTTAAAAGTTATTGCTTTCAGAACACAAGATCAGAATTGTAGTCCAAAAAGTAACTTTTCTAAGCTCTACTTTAGCCAGTATAATTGAGGCAAGAAAGGATAATAATAACAACAACAACAACAACAACAACAACAACAACAACAACAATTTTATTTCTTATCTCCCTCTCCTTGCTGCTCAAGTGGGTAAAAGAATAATTAAAACACATACACATTGTAAAAATACCACAAATACACATATTAAAATGTATTTTTAAAAATAAAAGATGCATATTAAAATGTATTTCTATAAAATACATATTAAAATACATAAAACAGAGATGAAACAGAATACACAAGTTTAAAATTCATGTTTAAAAACTGGTTGGAGTTGGGAGTTTGGTAGCAACTAGAGAGGCATTAGCTACCCTATTTGATCTGTTTTTTCCCTCTGTCACACCACAAGAAGGTATATATGTATGCCAGGGACAGCTTTGATCACCATCCTTTCCATTTTTGATAAGCACCTACTCTTCTCCAAAGCCCGTTTCTGTCACTGGACAAATTTAGATTCAGCAATGTATCTGTGGGGTCAGGGGGAGCAGGGCTCAAAGATTGAGTGATACTTCAGCTGTGCTGATGTTCCTAGGCAGGGCTGCCTTTGCTTTAGTGCCATGATATGATCTGCTTCAGGACAGCACCAAAGACTTAGGGAGGGGAGGGGCTGAGAGCACATTTGATTAGTTAGGCGAAAGGTTTTTAAGGAAGTACCGTTTGGGCATCTTTGCAGGGTGCAAAGGGTATAAGGACTGCTCGTTTGGACAGTCCTCTCATGTGAATTATTGATTTCTGGGCTTGTGGAAGCCATTGGTTTGAGAAGCATTTATATCTTGTCAAAATCTAAGTTTCACAGCACACAATTACAACTTTATCATTCCACTTTAACTGCCATGACAACATGCTATGGAATCCTGGGATTTGTAGTTTGGGGAAGCAACAGAGATAATAATAATAAAACTTTATTTATATACCGCTCTATCCTCAGAGCGGTTTCCAAGTGACATCACCAAAACATACAAAGTAAACAGCATAACATAAAATTAACAAAACATAGTATAAAATTATTATTATTATTAAAATTATTATTATTATTATTATTAAAAATAATCCTGCCTATTCAGAGCAATTAAAAATCCGGGCCAATGCTAGTGCAAACTCAAAACATGAGGGGGCCGGGAATTAAGTACAGTGCTGTAACAGGCTATCAGAGCCTCGATAATGAATTTGAAGCACCACTCCTTAACTGCAAATGCCAGGGTTCCACAGGATGGGACTGATGGAATTGTGGTCATTGTGTTATAACTGTGTGAGTTTAGGTCAGGCATGGAGAGCCTTTGGGATTGAGATTTTTATAGCTTTCCATTCCTGCTCATTACACCCATTGTTCACTGCCTTTTCTCTCAGTTTTCTCACTCAAAAAATAAAAAAGTAAGTAAGTATAACATACTGTAGCGAAGCTGCATATAGATGCTTGAAGGTAGTATGGCTTGGTTCATTCAGGCATGGTTTGTTCTAATAATAACAACACAAAGGCCAGCAAGAAAGATTTCTGCTCTATTTATTTTGATAGATCTAAGGGGTTTCCCCCCACGGCTTTGTCTGCTTTTCTAGACTTTTGCATATTCTCTCCCCTTCCCCCTTTAGTTTCTTAACCTTTACTTACTAAATCAAGCAAATGATGTGTGTGTGTGCATGCATGTATGTGTGTGTGTATATATATGCATATATGTATGTGTGTAAACTCTCACCGGTATTTTAAATGAACAGGTTTTTCAATATCTACAAGGGAAAAAATAAAACAAAACAGCAGGGATTTATATTTTTTTGAAAGCATTTTTGGAGAACATGGTAAACAAATTGTTAAAGGTAGACTGCTACCTAATTGGGTGTTGGGGGAACCAACTCAATTCCATCGATGAAATGCATACATAAATAGCATTCAGACCTAATGAAAACCATGTTTTTCACCAAGGTGAGCCTTGGGGTCCTGTTCTTCTTTCACCTTCCCCCGTAAGTTATCCTTTCTGTACCCTTCCAAATGTTAACTCAAATTTGGATTGCTCTTACACCTCTTGGGCTCTGGTCTGATGTAAACAAAATACTGCTTGAAAAACAGCACATGCACCAGCTTTTTCACCAATCATATTTCCCGCTGGCAGAAAATCTTTGAAAACCATCATTTCTGATGACTATTCACAGTTTACAACTTATTGTACATAGTTGTTTTCAACATACAAATGCAGAAAAGAAATAAGATGTGACTCATGGGGATCTGTTCCTGGATTTCGTGTGTTTATGAGAAACAGCAGATAATGCTGAACTCCTTAGAAACAAAAGACTTCTGACCAAAGAATAGCATAGAGCTATTCTGGAGGATCCAGAAAATGCCTACAAAGGAAATATGTTGTTGGACACAGATGAATGAAATTGTGGATACTTCTCCCATGGTGATTACAATTATATTGTGCTGCATTTTCTGTGCAAAACATAAGTTAATTTCGCACATATTCCCATCTATCCAGGAACTAATTTTCCAATCATCTTGGAAATATTTTTAAAATATTTCTCCAAGTCCTGCCCTGAGTGGATTCACTAAGCAAGGCCCCTGGTCATTTCTGCCCATAAGAGATGCCTCTGTAGAACTGCTCAGAGTGGACTGTACACATTACCTTATTATTTTGTCCTATACCTCAGTTTAATTTTTTTAGATGCAATTATTCCTGCTATCAATTTATTTAAGTAATTTCTTATCTCAGTTTTCTCCTATATGGGATCCAAAGTGGCCTGCATGTTAAACCACTAAAATGATAAGCTGGTCCTCTACATTTGCAAATTTGACTTTTGAGGATTTGGATATTTGCAGATTTCATTAATATGTTTTCTGTAGTAACTGCAAGGTTCCCTCAATATGACTCCATGGTCAACTTCAGGTGGAAATTGGTCACAGAATTGCATTACGGTATCTATAAATGTCTAGACAAAGTGCTTTTCTAAGTATTTGTGAAGTCTTCCAGCATGATTCTATGGTCAACTTCAATGGAAGCTGACCAGAGTTGTGATGGAGGGCCTAGAGATCCCTAGAGAGGTGTTCTTATCCAGGTTTTAAAAAATGGTTTTTTTATTCATGGTTTCCCCGTTGTTGTGGGGGTGTAATATCCCTAACCTCAACAAATGTAAGAAGGGTATAAAATATAGCAAAAACATTCCTGACTGAATATACTAGGAATGTGAAACCCCTGAAGTACAAGTGGTCAATCCCCATATAAAGCCACATATCCCACCAAAACAAGATTGATTAGTTAATTTAATTGATTAACAATGCTATTATATAGAAAATTGTTAATATAATAGCAAAAAGCATAAACACATAGCAACAAGGCATTGAAAACACTTTCAAAACAACAGCCAATGATCTTCTGGGGTCTGTTTCTGTCTTAAATTAGAGTCACAGTCTAAAGACGCTTTACGGAGAGTTATAAAGGAAGCAAACTGCAACAGAAAACAGCTGCTCATATCAGTTGTGCTTATGATCCATTCTATTCAACAGCTGGAAACACTTGCTGAAAGGGTGCGTTATGTTTAATGGCTGTGAGGATATCTATTTTTGATAGCTAAAGTTCAACATAAAGCAAATTTTCCCTTTATCCTCTCAAGATGTGGGGTTTTCAGAAAACTTCAGCACCCGAGTTTGGATCCAAATGAGTTAGGCTTAGATCCTCTGAAAATCTTGACACTCCTAAAACCTTTAGAAGAACCATCTTTCTCTTCTAAAGGGATGTCTTTTTCAGAAGACTGACTGAATACACCAAGAACATGAAAGATCCCAAAGAACAAGGGGCCAGCCCAACACCCCAATGGCTGCACACCTCCCTCCGCCAGACGTGACTAAATGATTGGTTAATGAACACTGGAATGGAACAATGGATGACGAATCTGGAACATGTTTTTGATGACGAGACGACAGTGAATGGGTATTGTAGTAACTGTTTATTAATTGTGTAATGTGTTAGGTTGTTAACTGTAGCACTGAATTTTTGCTGTTCGTATTTGTTGTGAACCGCTGTGAGTCGTCTTCGGGCTGAGAACAGCGGTATATAAGTAAGGTAAATAAATAAATAAATAAACAAATAAACTGAAATGTGGTTCTTATAT